GCATAGAAACTTACCAAGTGATGGGACAACTAAATACATTAAGAATAAGTGATTGATAACTAAGAAGTTGATTTGAATGAAGTTACATTGAGTTATTTCAATGACTTCTATAGGGGTGAAATCTGTGATTGATAATAATAATAACAATAATAATAAGCAAAGTCATGGAGACTTGCCAGTCTCTTTGAGTGTATGTCATAGCTATCTTGAGCAGAAAAAAAATATTATATGTTTATTTTATAAAACTCAGCCAGATATTTGGCCACAAAGAAAGCATTAATAAAATTTTAAATGCTGGGGCCAATGCTCTGGTATAGTAGGCTAAGCCTACAGCACCAGCATCTCATTTTAGTGCCAATTTGTGTCCCAGCTGCTCCTCTTTCAATCCAGCTATCTGCTAATGGCCTGGGAAAGCAGTAGAAGATGGCCCAAGTTCTTAGGCTCCCGCTCCCACATGGGCGAACAAGAAGAAGCTCCTGGCTCATGTCTTTGGATCAGCCCAGCAGTGGCCATTGTGGCCATTTGAGGAGTGAACCAGCAGATGTTATACCTCTCTGTCTCTCCCTTTCTCTGTAACTCTGCCTCTTAAAAGAAATAACATTAGAACTACTTTAGTAGCTTCTTGATAAGTGTATTATATTGAGGAATTTCTCTGAAGTTTAGAAATCATAGAGTTGATGTTAGGATGACATGTGATGATATATATGGAAATAATTTGTAAACTGTAAATTCTGTAATAGAAATGTGAAGATTTATTACTATGAAACTGAATGGTAATGACTTTAATGCTCAGAATAACTTTATGAATCATTCTCAAAGTTATACCTAGAGTGCACAAGAGACTGATAGAGGGAATTACCTTCTAAAGGTAAGGAAGAAATTTGTGTGTGAGGAGGTGAGGTTGTAGTGCATCCTTGGGGATCACAGGTTTTATGAGAGTGAGAGTGGGGAGAGTCAATCTTATGTAAGATGCTCAGGTGACTTGGGTAGTGTGAAAAACTAGGCAAAGAAGCAGGAAAATTCATATTTTCACGAAACGTTTCTCTGTGACAAAATGATATTTAACTTAATGACAGCAATATCCCAATTAGCTTATCAATTACATCTGAAATTTTGCTTTTTTGATTAATTTCTTTTGGTCCTTAGGGAAATCCTCTGTGTTAAATCAAGTATACTTAATCATTCCTTCCTATATATGACAGTTTACAATGTCTCTGCTTCTACCATCGTATTGACAGCATGGTTCATTTCATTTGTTTGTCTTGCAGGTCAGTGTTTCTAAATGGTGGGTCTCCCATGTTGGGGGCTGAGGCTTAATTATTTAGGCCATTTTCCACTGCTTTCCCAGGTGCATTAGCAAGGATCTGGAACAGAAGCAAAGCAACAGGGACTTGAACCAGTATTGTGATATTGGATGCCAGTTTTCAAAGGACAGACTTAATCTGCCTGGTCACAATGTCAGCTTCTGTTTGTGTATTTTTTTATAGGATTTATTTATTTAAATGCAAAGTGACAGAGAGGGGGAGAGAGAGAGAGACAGACAGACAGACAGACTTCCATCTGCTGTTTCACTCCCTGAATACTGCAATGGCCGTAGCTGGGTCAGGCAGAAGTCAGGAGCCAGGAACTCCATTCAGGTCTTCCATACAAGTGGCAGGAACTCAAGTACTTGACCCACCATCTGCTGCTTTCCAGGTGCATTAGTAGGAAGCTGAATCAGAAACAGAGTAGCAGGGATTCAAACCAACACTCCAATATGGGACACAGGTGCCCCAAGGGGTGTCTTAACCTGCTGTGCCACAGCATTGGCCTCCATGCTCTTTGTTTTGAAGTAAGAACAACTACTGACCAAATGGATTGCACAGTTCACATGTGCTGTGGGATATGAGTGGAGCTCAGAGCTCTGGAAGGTGGAAAGGCAGTGATGCAAAATGATTCCAGGGAGTAGCAGACTGACACTGGGTTGGCCCAGTGAAAACAGGAGATGATTTCTGTGGCTGCTGACAAATACACACATGTCCTGCAAGAACACACCTACCAACCAAACCCAGTACCAATCTTCAATTACCTCTCTTCTGTTCTTGCTGAGCTTTTCTTACACAAGGAAAGTAAGGAACACAATTTCCTACATGGAAAAAACTTTTTCAATCCCATGCCTTCTGGATTGTGGGTTTACCTTTTAGTTTTGATACCCTGAAATCATGGTTTTAAATTTAAAAATTTAATTTCAATGGGGATTCATGAAACATTTAAACACATTGCATATTCATAGGGATAGGCATAATAATTTCAAACATGAAAAGCACAAAGAATCTCTTGAGTTTGCAACAAGGAAACGTAACCGCATAGAAGTAACTACTCATTTGGAGGGGGCCTGTTGCCTACTGGTTAAGATGCCAGTGTCCCACATGGATGTCCTGGGTTTGATTTTTGACTGTGGCTCCTGATACCAGCTTTCTGCCACTGCAGACCATGAGAAGCAGTAGTAACGGCTCAAGTAATTAGGCTCCTGCCATGGATGTGGGAGACCTGGATTGAGTTGCCATACACTGGCTCTAGCATGGCCCTAGCCTTCCATAGCTATTGTGGGCATTTGTAGAGTAAACTAATAGATGGAGGCGCTTTCCCTGCCTCCTATTTCTGTCTTTCAAATAAATTTTGAAAGTTAATAAAATCTCTGTTTATTAAATGCAAATGTCATAATCTCTCAAACGGGGCAAGGAGTTTTAACTGAGAGTAAATAAGAATAAAAATGTAGAAACTGTTTTAATCTTGATATACCATTGTTAAATTTGGTAAATAATTAAAAATTAAGGTTGTAGCAGAAAAATTTAGGAACTGTCACCATTGTTGTTTGCTACATAATAACCAGAACATGCATTTACCAGCTTTGTATGTCTGTCTCTCACCTTTGTGACAAGTCTGCAAAACCTTATCAGTCTGTGTATACAGTAGTGACCTCTTTGGCCCCCATTTAGGCTTTAACCTCCAGTGAAGAAAGAAAGAAGAGGAATTGTGTTTCTCCCATAATGATATGACAGTGACCACATGGGTTTGTTCCTGCCGTATTCTCATTAACTAATAATTACCTGCTTGATGAATGAACCAATGCTTGTCATTCAACTGCTGTGTCTGAAGCACCTGCAAGAGCTTTCATCCCCAGTAGAAAATTAAAGAGTCCTGTCTAATCGTTAGCTCTGTTTTTGGCTAAACTACCTGTTTTCATGAACAGAGGGCTTTCTTACTTATCAGGAAGGAATACCAGCAAAGTCAGCTGTAGCTGTAATTGTCAAGTTTGAATTCTCTTTCTGCTCTCCTCAGGGCTTTTCTTCTCTACCCTGCTGTAAATGATTTATTACTCCCAGGAAAAAGGTTTAAGCTTAACAAGTCTCCTTAGTGATTGCACTCCAATGTTGTTCTTCAACAAATACATATTCTTCACTAATAGTGAAAGAAAATCCAGTAGAAAAATGAACCAGGGATATGATTAAGCCATTTAAATGAAATTAAAAAGCAGTTAAATTTTGAACAGGAACTCAAAATGCTTACTAAGATGAATATAAACTTTATCTATAATTTTGGTAAAAAAAGAAATAGATTGATCACATGCACTCCAGGTGAAGGTGAGGGTACCACAATGGAAATAGCCTTTCTTGATGAGCACCTGAGTCCCTGGTGCTTTATCTATGTTGTACATGTCGCTACACAACTGTAATGCTATGTTGCTTATGGAAGCCCACTCTTTTAAAAACAGATTTATTTACTGGATTTGAAAGGGAGAGTGACAGAAGGTTGGGGGATGACAGAGAGAGAGAGAGGTCTTCCATCCTCTGTTTCACTCCCAAAATGCCTGAGACTTCCAGGGCTGGGCCAGGCCAATGAAAGGAGGCAAAATGCCATCTGAGTCTCCCATGTGGGTGGCAAGGACCCAAATACTGGGACCATCATTTGCTACCTCCCAGGTATGTTAGAAAGTGGGTGGGTCAGAAACCAGGAGTACCCAGGCCTTAAACCAGGCACTCTGATTTGGGAAACAGGCATCTCAAGCAGCAGCTTAACCTATTGACCATAATGTCTATCTGCAAGCCCATGCTTGTTCTCTCTCTGTGTTTCTCTGTCTCTGTCTCTGTCTCTCTCTTTTTCCCATTTCTGCTGTCATAGAGCTAACAGACTTCACATGTGAACATACATGTTTGATACAACTCACCCTTTCTATTCTTTGGTTAAACATTATACGTATGAGTATATGAATTTAATAATAATTGTATTGTGGGCCGGCACCCTGGGTTCTAGTCCTGGTCGGAGCATTGGATTCTGTCCTGGTTGCTCCTCTTCCAGTCCAGCTCTCTGCTGTGGCCCGGGAAGGCAGTGGAGGATGGCCCAGGTGCTTGGACACCTGCACCCGCATGGGAGACCAGGAGAAGCACCTGGCTCCTGGCTTCAGATCAGCGCAGCACTGGCCGTGGCGGCCATTTTGGGGGTGAACCAACGGAAAAGGAAGACCTTTCTCTCTGTCTCTCTCTCTCACTGTCCACTCTGCCTGTCAAAAAAAATAATAATTGTATTGCATATGCCATCAAAGAGGAGCCTCAAAATATGCATCATTATTGTCCTATATCTGGGCATTTGGGATAAGGATATCTTTGCACCTTTTCTTAGTTAATGGATCTGTGATCTAATGAGTTGCTAGTATTTATGTATTTATCTTCAGGGGTGATAAGGAAAAATACATTACCGAGATATGTTTCCCTTACTACATAGGCAGATCATTAGAACGTCAACAGCTACATTAGTATCTTTAGTTTTTTTGTACCTGCCATGAGTCAAACACTTTGCATATATACCACTTTTCTTTCTTGCAGTAGCACTATAGTATTGCTATTTCTATTTTACTAATGAGAAAAAAGAGTTCAGAGAGATTTTGTAAGGTGAGTATAATTCACCACCAGTTCTGACAGTTTCCTTTCATTTTTCAAATTAATTAATTCACTAATTTGAAAGAGAAATGGAGAGATAGATCTGAGCTTCCATCCACTGGTTCACTCCCTAGATGTCCTTAACAGCCAGGGCTATACCAGGCAGAAGCCAGGAGCCCTGAACTCAATCGGGATCTCTCACATGGATGGCAGGGACCCAAGTACTCCAGTCACCATCTGCTGTTTCCTGGGATATATATTAACAGGAAGCTGGAATCAGCAGCAGAGGTAGGACACAAACACAGGCACTCTGATAAGATGCAGACATCCCAGGCAGTGTCTTAACAGCTGCACCATCCAGCAGAATATCTCCCTTTATTAATGCTTCTTTCATTTAAGGAACTCGATTAGTGATTACCTATCTATCACATCGAATCCTCCCAAAACTCTACATGATACATATGTATCTATAGGTACATAGTCTTATCTCAAATTTACACTTGGGGAGAAATTCAAAGAAAATGCTAGTTTCATATCAGAGACCAAATCGACAGGATCTCAGAGCAAAGGTATCAATCAACAGGAACTAGTGATACCATCTCACCACAGAAGTACAGGAAGGCTCTCTGTTGGGAGTTTTTCTTGATTTTGTCATCCAAACACTGGATAACTTCAGTTCTCCTTAGGTAAGATAATGTTATTCTTCCTTCTTAATATGTACCTGAAACTTGCCTTTTCATTTCGGTTGAAACTAGAAGAATCAAAAAAACATAAGGATCAGAGATTTCAAAGGCACTTTATGAGGGGAGCAATGGCAAAGAGGTTACAAAGTGAGTTTAATGAAGAGGTGAAAATAAACTTTGATCATGTATGTAGATAATTCCACTGCTAAATAAAAGCTATAAACCTTACAGAAACCCAGTCCTCTGAAGGGAGTTCAAAAATTTTTCCCTACAACATCTGGAATCTTGGAGACCAATCTATATACATTCACTTATTAAAGATAATTTTGCCACTCATTTCAGTTGTGCCTACGGACATAGTGCTTGGGATATTGCTCTTCCTTAGATGCAGAAGAGAAGTGATTATGGACATAGAATTCCATATTGACAGGTTTAGATGAGAATCATGGTTCTGCTCATAGTTAGATGTTGGCAATGTATTACAACTCTGTGAGTCAGTTTTATAAAAATGCAAAGTTAATTTATGTTGTTAAAAATTTATTATGAAGATTAAATAAATGTGGTTACCTGAAATACATGTCCATCATCATCATCATCTTACAGGTCAAAAAAACCTTTATAACTTCCTTGTTTGTGTTATGCTGTGAATTATTCCTATAGATGTCTGTATCTGTGTGTGTGTATGTGGATACATAGGATATATAAAACAGATGTTGGTGGTTTTCACTGGGGTGGTTTTATATACTAAAATGCTCTTTGAATAGTTCAAAAGCACATTTTTTAAATTAAAATATGTATGGGAAAAATTTAATATTAATTTATTATATAATCATCAAACCTTAGCAAAGATTCAAATCATGCTAAATTTCTACTTCAGCTTTTAAGATTTTACTTTATTTTCTATAAGGAAGATAGTCATAAAAATGAACTTACAAATAGCTGTGAACATTGGGATGCTAATGGCTCCAACATAAGAAAGGGAGAGGATACGTGACTCTGCATTTGCCCTTGATATTTGCAGGAGTGTTGCAAAGAGCAGTTGAGATCTTCCACAGAAATGTGAGTGAATGATCAGTGCAGAGTCAGTTTTCTTTCAGTGACAAGGGCACATGATATTCATCTTGCATAGAAGTTGCTAACTAAGCACAGCCTTTGCCAATCAGGATCTCCTCTTTCTGCTTTCAGTTAACACAAGGTCTTGGATTTCTAAAATATGAATTCGATCTGACTCGGTCTTTCACTAAAAACGTTAGAAATCTGTCTGCAGTTCTCAAAATGCTTTCCAAATTCCTTAGCATTGTGTGCCAAGACCTTTACAATCTGGCCAGAGTATTCTTTTTCTACCTTGATCTTCCAGCAGCCTACTCATTCTTCTCTGAAACATTCCAAGCACTCTTTATTCACAATGTTCTCAGTAATACCCTTAATAATACCCTTAAGGGCACCTCCTCTGCCCTTAACTAACTACCTGCTGAACTCCAGGCCTACCCTAACATCACATCTTTGAGTCCCTCTTTGGTGCTCCTAGGCAGAATTAATTTCTCCCAGGCCCTCTGTTTCTGAAACTCTCTGTAATTATGTCTATGCTAAATTAGAGAAAATGTTTACACATTAAATTAGAGTTAATTATTTGCATTACTCAGAACATTTTCTGTGCTCAATGATGAGTTCCTCAGGTAGGTATCATCTTATTCATCTCTGTGTGAAGTAATGCATGCATAACCTGTCATTCAGTAAGTCCTTGATATATGGAGCTATGATTTTGTTGATTATATTCTTAGTGTCTCTTCAGCTGCACATTACAGACTTAGTATTTAAGTGATCTTGCTTGAATTTATGAATTCCTCATGGCATACTTTAAAGATTTGTCTATCAGCTAAACCTTGATTGAAAGCAATGCTGTCATATTGCATACCCCTATGTTTTTGTGAATTCTGAAAATTCTTTTGCTTTCCCTGCCTTTACGTATTATATTGCTGATTGTCTTTATATCTTTATTTATTTTGATCATTTGTTCCAGAAATACTTTATAATTTTTACTTATTTTTTTCTTTCTATTTGAAAGAGAAAGAGAGAGAAATAGAGAGAGAGAGAGATCTTCCATAATTGGTTCACTTCTCAAATACCTGCAACTGCCTGGACTATGCCAAGCAAAAGCCAGAAGCCAGGAACTCCATTCATGTTTCCCAAGTGATAGTTAGGGGCCCATTTACTTGAACCATCATATACTGCCTTCCCAGGGTACACATTAGCAGCACGCTCGAAATGGAGTCAGGATTCAAGCCAGATGGTCCTTATAGGATGCAGATATCTCACGTGGCATCTTGTCATTGCATAAAATGCCTGTTCCCAAAATACATTTTGAACAAACATTATAAGTCATACAATCTACTAATTTTTGGGAATGAAGAAGTAAATGCAGCAGAAATTCTCCTTACTCTCATGAAACAACATTTAGCAAAGAACATAATCATTAAGCAAAGGATTATACAGTTAAAATGTTCTTTCTGCTATGCAGGAAAGTCAGAAGTTGCTAACAGTGAATATTAAAAAAAGAATCCTAACTTCTTCAGGTGAAGTAAGCAATACTTTTTTTTCTGATTAAGTGATATTTACACTTTATCCAAAGAAAGGGCATGGATTACGGAAGAGGAAAGTGGCCAGGGATATGTAGAGGTTGGGGGTGGGGATGAGGAGAATTTCAGGAAAAGGGAACTAAATTCAGAACCGTACATCCTGGAAGAGGCAGATATCAGCACATGTTTTAGAGCCAGTTCCTTCAGTAATGAGCATAACTCCAATTCTCAGTGATAACTAAGTTCCAGACTTTGCTCAGTATTCCTGGATGCAATATTCCTTTCCAAACCCAAGTTTCCATATTTCCCTGAAAATATATGCATTGGTATCATGGGTTATACTGTTCTCTCTGGAGTGCCCCATCTATCTGTGTTTAAAACCTATCCATACTATAGGAGTCAATTGAAACCCTGAGAATCTGTGTTTTACTAAGCTGGAAGCAATAATTCCTTCTACTACATTATTTCTAGGGCAGTTTATTTGTGCCTGCCTCACAATCTACATCTACATATTCTGTTTATACTTGATTTATCTCTATATCTCCACCTCAAAAGAAAGTTAGAATAATGCCTTGTGTAAAGTACATATTTCAGGTATTTTTATTTACTAAAGGAAATGCTAATGAGCCATGTATGGCTTTGATGAAATAACAAGGTTTGGGGTTGATGTTGTGGCTAAATAGGCTAAGCCTCCGCCTGTGGTGCTAGCATCCCATATGGGTACCGGTTCATGTCCCGGCTACTCCTCTTCTGATCTAGCACTCTGCTGTGGCCTGGGAAAGCAGTAGAAGATGACCCAAGTGCTTGAGCCCCTGCACCCATGTGGCAGACCTGGAAGAAGGTCCTGAAGAAGTTCCTGGTTCCTGGCTTTGGATGGGCACAGCTCTGGCTGTTGCAGCCATTTGGGGAGTGAACCAGAAGATGGAAGACCTCTCTCTCCCTCTCCCTCTTTCTGTCTATAACTCTTACTCTCAACTAAATAGGTATAATTTAAAAGAAAACTTTTGAGTCAAATGTTTGTTCAGTCAGATGTTGGTTATGTATTTGTCTCGCATACCACTGGTGGCCACTTGGTTAGAGTGTACTGATAATGTCATGTGTATTATGTTCAGTTGCAGCCTTGCCAAACAATGGGCCATGAGAAAAATCAATCGATTTCCTACACCAACTCTTGGAGAGCAAGAGATTGACTCTTTAACCTGAGACTCCTGTATTGTATTACCACTGTACTCACACATCATGAAAAATACATTTGTTTCTATTAGTTATTAAATTAAGATCCTAAAATTAATTTAATCCTTTCTGATTTCTATGGTGTCTTTGAAGCTAGACCTCTGCTGTTTTCTTGTATATAGTTAATGTAACATCGAAGAATAAGCATGATCTCCTTTGGCTCTGAGGCTGAAGGAGGCACGTATTTGCTTCTGCGCTGTGGAACCCACCTCTTTCTCCAAGTCTACTTTAAAAGAAGTGTCAAAAAAGCTTGTGCTGTCAAGAAAATCTTCCTCTTGAAGCATCAATACCTTCATTTGGACATTACATTTTATTTTCCTTTGTACAAATTGGGGGACTCATATCTCTCCTGATTTCAAGCCCATGGGGCTCAGGTAGCTATGTCATCTGTGGATCTGGACTGGTTAATAAGGAAATGGATGAGTAAAGACAAGTTGTGTTTAAGGTTTGGTATCTGTAGAGGTTCCTTTGCTATACAAAGAAAAAAAAATACTAATCTGCTAACCTTGGCTGGCCATATTATAAATTTGGGCTTTGCTCCTAAGAGTGAAAAACAGAAATCATTGATAGTGCATCTGTGGTCTTTGTGTGAGAAAGGTGTAGAATGTTTGAAGAGAGGAGGAATTCCTTCCCTCACTGTCAGTGGACATAAGGGACCATTTTTTTAGATGGAGTGGCCCCAAATAATCAGTCTCATGCAGCAGTTTCTCTCAGGAGGACTTACTGACTGTGACTGACGTGTTTTTCCCCATGTAGACTGACTTCCTGAGCATCAGTTTGCCAGTGCTTTTATAGAAAAATTGAGGCGTGTGTTTAGGATGTGAGAAAGGGGCTGACAGAGGCTCTTCCCGTTTAGGCAACAAGTGTTTTCATAGATTTTATGTTCAAAATCTGACTCCACCTGGTTTCTTGCTGCTTTCCTCCTTGGTGGAGGTCTGGCTGCCTCTGGGTACAATGTTGCAAGCCCTCCTGGATCTTCCTCTGAGGAAGTCCTCTGAATGAGGAGTAAACTGTTTCAGATTCTCTGCTCCTGCTTCCCTGTACCCCTTTTGCCTAAATCCTTCCCCCTTTCTTACAAATGTCCCTTCCCCACCAGATGCTTAAGTGCCAGGGTATTTCCAACTCTGTTTTTTAAAGATAGAGCGAGACTGCACATGCCAGAGAGAGAGAGAGAGAGAGGGAGAATTTCCCATCCACTGGTTTATTTCCCAAATAGCTATAACAGACAGGGCTGGGAGAAGTCAAAGCCAGGTGCTAGG